AATTATATTAAAAAAAATTCGTAGATTTCTTATCGTGCATTGCATCAATCCTAAGACTTTCTATAAATTTGTTGTTTGGTTTCAAAATGGCCTTCATTTGCACATCTATATTGTTAACATGGATGTTATAATTACATTTAAATTTAGATTAATACACACAAATCTGAGTGAAACAATTAATGATAATATATGTAGCAAATTATGGGTTTAGGGTTAAACCCTAAACCTTTACTTAAATCCAAAAAGAATGAATTGTCCAGATATACCTTTAAATATACTTATGACACAATTTTTTAATCTCATAACTATGTATTTTGATAATAATAGGAATTTTTACTCTGCAATTACATTTGAAATTGTCACTATTGTATAGTATCATTTCACTATTGAGAATAGTGACATACCGTTCTTATTGAGCAGATTTACAAGTTAGAATCTAATGGTTCTGGGATTTTACGTCACTAATGAGAGGATGTCACTCATAAGAGGTGACACTATTGGGAGGTTTAACTCTCTACTTTATTTTAAAACTCAAATTTTTTTGTCTAAACAAAAAATTCAATGAACAAAATGATATCAACACCTGTAGCCTTTCCCTTGGCCTCTGTCTGATATTCCGAACGCGGGAGGTCTCCTACATAATAGGAGTAGGAAGCAATACCACCCCGCTTTCCTATTACGAATAATAACACAGCACAAATAATAACTTGCAAATGCTTTTACGATATCGATATATATATATATATATATATATATCACAATTGCAAGAATAAAGATTGAAATAGATTGATTGAGAGAAGTGAAAGATTCAAAAGGTTGAAGATTTGATGTTCCACAAGCAATGTATATGACTTATGCAAGATCAAGAATTATGCACAATAATTTTGTCACCAAGTCTTGATACAACAATTATGTACCATGTTGTAGTGAAATGAATCTTGAAGAGCATACAACGAGTATATAATTAGTCTCAAATACAAATGTTTTCAATTGCATAGCTTATCTACAAAAGAATTCCTATAATAATAAATCAACTTGTTCATCAACTTGTTTTATTATATTTTCAAAAAACGATGAGATTATGTTACCATGTATGTGAATTACAAAATTTTTTTGAAAATAATGTGATTTTGATATTGTAAAGAAAATGAGCAAGTTGATTTATATTCAGCAAAACACAAAAACAACAGTTTTTTCACAATACTTTCAATTTTGTTAATCATGGCTTAAGTAAAATGTTAAACATAACTTTATATATTCATTTTGCTAATATGTATTGAAAAACCTTGTTTAGATTTCTCAAAATAAAATTATTAATATATAATGTCTATCATACTTAAATTAATAATTATACATAGAAAGTTTAAAGTATTGTAAAATATAAACAATCTTATAAACTTGAATATACGTTGTAAATATATACATCTTACTTTCACATTGCAAGAGCAATAAGAATATTTTTTTTTAGTTTTTATGTATTTTGCATACAACAATTTTTCTAATGCATCTACAAAATTTTCTTCATTCTTAATTTATTCAGTGTGATCATCTCATAATGGCCTCAAATTTGATGAATGTTTTAAAATAAAAGCAGGTTTTTCATTTCAGAAAAAGCAACTGTTATCAATTTTGTGAGTCGTATTTTCAAAGTGCTACTTCAAATCAAAGAAAAGTTGCGGCTTGTTTACGATTAACAATATATTTCTTTATTTCTTTATAAGTTAGCATGTAAGATTATTGTTTTTTATCCACAACAAATTTATCACGTGTATCAAAGTTTTGTTTTCAAATTTTATTGTGAATTATCTAAGTATATGAAACTATGTTTGTGATATTAAAATTTGTTGATGAGATTTCATGCACGTTCAAGCTTCCGCCATATATGAAAATATTGTATGTGTCACAATTGTAGAACTTTGTATTACGACCGGAACTATTCTTCAACTCAACAGCGCTTGTTCTTTTAACAACCTTATTGGCTAATCATGAAGAATTTGAGATAGTAAAGATATTCAAGAAACGAATTTAAGATAAAAAAATATCTCAAATTGAATTTTTTGATTTAATGAAAAGAAATTCATTTTATGAATCGACTTTGAAACAAGTTAGAAAACTAACTAATGCAACTTTGATATTTTACTAATTTGATTGTGCAGCTTAGAAATAGGCAAATCCGAAGTTAATGAACTATCTGCAGTTGACACGTCAACACTATCAATGAAATTTATATGTCAGTCATGTCATTAACCTACTAAGAGTGATTTGTAGGGGATGAGAACTTATTTCATTGTAGAAGAGTGGAATCATTCCAAATGTTTTTTATATTCAAAATTGATATCTCATCTTTGAATAACTTACCTTATAATTGCCAAGATAAATTTGAAAACACTGCTTTCGAGAAAAAATTTGCAAGATGCAAAAATGATTATTTGTTCATACTCTTATAGTGATTTTAAAAACAGATTTATCATAAATATCTAAACAATTTAGATTGATGACATGACATACACTTCTATAAACACATAATATACATGATTGTAATTTCATTTAACACACTAATCAACATAGTTGAATGATGATGACAAAAATGTGTTTCCATATTGATAATAAAAAAATGACAATGAAAATTAACTTAACATCATTTCACTCTATCACTTCTAAATAATAGAAGATAATTGCATATGACTTCTGTCCAACAGCAATGCACACTTTTGAATGCATCAATCATTGAAGTGTGGATTATAACTCTATTTAGCTTTGTATATAATATATTGTAATCAATATGTTCAATTGCTTCATAGAAAAAATTACCTCATGTATTTAACTCGTTTGATTGTTTCTCATATGCATGTTAATTCATAGACCATTCTAATCAAGATATATTTGGAATCTTAATATACATTCTTTAACGTTGAAATATAGCCACATGTGATCTGATTACTTCATGGGGTCTTATATAATTTCAGTGTATAAATTGAAATAACTCTTTCCATAAAACTAATTTAATATGATTCTTTTTTTATATTGCTAAATCAATACATAAGATAAAATATCCGAAATATTTGCAAGCAGATGTGACGCTGAATGGATTGATGCACAGTAGTATAATGTTGATTGTTTAGAAGAAAGTACACAAATCTTCGTTACTGTTGCAAATAAACTTACTAATCGGATGATAGACTAATTGTTCACAACACGAACACCTCCCAACCCACACCCTGGTAAATCTCGTAAATCTTATCTGAGATCGTAACCTGATCTCCAGCACTCCAATGGAGAAGACTTGATATAACGTTGGCCGATTGACCTTCCGACCGAACGGGCAGAATAAGCAAAAAAGATAGAAACAATAGAACTCACAGCGTTTAAATTCATTCACTCATATCCATGTGGCCTCTCATTTTAGATTCATTTCTGAACATTGATCAATCAAGGTTGTTCTTTGCCAAACGTTCAAGTTCTTTACGCGGAATCGTCTAGCAGACAGAAACTAAAACACGCCACGAGAGGTATCTTCGACTCTCCATGCCTTGCAATTTAATTTATGGACCAGTACATAAATGTTAGATGAACATTCTTTGCTTCGAAGCATGTCGGTACTTGGAACAGCAAGAAGCAAGCAATTTTTCAGAATGATCACTCAAAGAAGTAAAGTGGTCAGAGTGATAGCTTTTACCTTACTCAGCCAAGTTGTAACGACACCCCTGATTCAGTGCACAGAGAATACTGTGAATCGATCTGATGAGATCTACAATGATCTTCGTGTTACATACATAATAGAGCAGTTTCTCTTGACATCTACAAAACATGTAAAGTTACGATATCTGAGATGTAATCCTTTTATTCAATAGTAGACTTCCTGAGACTTGAAAACTTTCTCATTAGCAGAACCACCAACCCGTTTGACCATAGAATTGAGATTTGAGAGATGGATTTGCAGAAGAGCTACTGTCACGCGATCATCACTCTTGACAATGATTGGAAAGTCGAGCAAAACCATAGCCGATATCTTACTGCCCACCTCGTTCTTAGTGAGTTTCCTCACCCTCAGATGTCGAAAAACCATGACTACATTTTGCTTCCTCAGTTTAAGCTTCACCACTCTTCACCTCAAAAGCATGTATGGAAAATTTGTAATTTATTCGTTTTGACTAGACCTCATAAGAAGCACTTTCAATTTGATTCAGTTCAACAAATAACAAAGAGCAGAAATCTGAGGAATATGTAAAAAGCAATGAACAGCGATGCTTCATGAATTTCTGACTAGGTCAGTGAAACAATTTCGAGAGATCTTGTGGGAGCTGTAGCCTTTACACAACAATTTTATAGTGATAGAGAAGATAAAGATGATCATGTGAACACGTGGAGTTGTGGAAAGACTTGCTCTGTTGAAAAAGCTGATGCGGTGCTGTCTGTAATGTCCACAACGCCTGATATCTTCTGTTTGTGTTGTGAGTGTGCTAAAAGCTTGGGAGCTTTTTAAAGGACCAGCAAAAGAGAGATGTACTTCATCTATACCAGAAATAATTAGCTCTCATCAGCATTGCAGACCTTAGCAGCATCGAGAGGTTGCTACAGTCCGTGAGGAGACAAGATAGCTACTTTTGGTCATCTGGTTCACCTGGATTTGATGGCATTTACAACTGGGGCTCATGAGAGCAGGTCTTAGAAACTGGAACAGAATTTGTTGCAATGTGATGATGAGGATTTTGTATCTTTCAGAGCGGCTAGAAAGACTGCAAAGCTCATTGCGAGGGACCACGTCAATACGATGAGAAACAAGATCTTGTGGTGGTGATAACATATGGATGAAAAATCATCTGAGACATCATTACTCCGTTGTTTACAGTTGTACAACATTGCTGGCGACTAAGAACAACGATACGATTGATGTAAATCGAATGATTGCGATAGTATAACGTCCACGAAAGATTGGAGTCATCACACAATCAGACAGATCCAGGAGGAAATAAAAGGAAAAGCGAGGACGCACTGGTGACTGAAGTGGCACTATATTACCAAACTCTTGAAGAAAATAGGTGAGGATCATCGTTGCAGGCTATAATGGTAGAACATCTGCCAGACAGGTAGATTCATAAGTACCAACTCTTACCTAAATGGCAGTGAAAGTTGTCAGAGCAGTAGCTACACATACAGTACTATCTCTCAATACTATCATGGAAAAGTACTTGCATGATGACATGTTTCTCGATTCTCTATAAACGTTGCCAGAGTTGTGGGAGTAAATATACCTACGTCAGTAAGCAGCGAAGTACCTTCGACATGTTTTAAATTCCAGCCAGCGAGGGCTTCTGCGATGAGATTAAAACCTTTCCCTCACATGATGTCGCAATTCGTCGTAAATGATGAGCTAAATTACATTAAACAATATACGAAAGAAGGCCAGTACTGTTGCCATGCGGCTACTAGTCTAACCACAAGGTCAATCAATTGATAACCATTGTCATCCGAAAAGTGTGGATGCGAGGTGCTTTCTTACTCCCATCACAGTAACCTGCAGAATACCAACGATGGTCGGGAAGGATTTCTCTTCCTCTGTTTTTTACTGTGTAAGTTCATTTTAAGTACGACAAGACGATCTTCATATTTCTTCATCTGTCACAGCCAGGTTGCTCTAAAAATCGTTTTTCACACAGGTAAAATGTCCGCTGACCTGCATGTGAGCTTCTTTCACCGTCCTAGGAACAGCTGAAATTATTCAAATAGAATCTGCTCAAACCTGGAAATCTTAAAAGCATTCTGCAAGACGGTAGCTTGTCTTGCCATTCTGAATGAAGAGAGAACAGCTTCAACAGGAAGGAAGTAATATGACCTAAGGCACTTATAATGTGAGCTCATTCAATCAATTTGAAAAACATTTCAAAACGGAGCTCAGAATATGTGGATAATTTCTGCAAGCATGATCATTTAAGGCTCTGCGAGGACTTACCACAGCCGGAAGTTAGTAAAAGTTCCTCCCGCTAGAATATGACTGAGGGTAAACACGACTGCTATAAAAGTAATGAACGTCGTAAAACGAAAGCGGGCCAACTGTGACTTTGGATTGTACCTACACCCGAGTTTCCTTGATGTATTGTTTACCGGATCCAACACCTCTTTTGACGAAAACGTTAAAGAAATAATGTTCATAAGTAGCACCGTTGTACAGTGCAGGATGAGCATCATCCACCAGCTCTTCCAATGGTGCAATCACATGGTCGAAAGCCGGGTTATAGAAGAAAGGTATAGACATACGTTCTCTGTCCCTGCAAGCCATTCCCCGATGCTCGATGCTCTTGAATCTTCCATTGCTCAATATCTATCAAGCAGTCAAGACAGTTCGTCAGTTCTTGAACATGCTCAGGGACAGGAGCCAAACTACGAATTTCCACTGAGTTTTCTTCAACGTCACTGATGGTTTGTTCATGTAATGAGGCTTTTTTCAGGAAAGAACATATTGCTCTTGCTAGAGTATGAAACCCCAGCTAGTTAAACAGTGAGTAGGTGGCTATTCTGTACTTTGACATTGTCCCAGTGGATATGCAGCAAGCCTTCGTGCGAAAGAACCGAATTAGTGGTGATTTCGCCGTCCTGGAATGATGCTATATTTGGTATAGTAGGTGTGTGCTTTACGTTTTCCTGACAGGTAGAATGAACAGATGCTGCCACAATGGAACCCTGACTACTTTCGAAATAAAACACATTCGAGTTGTTGTTCTACCTCAATCTGGTCTCCACAATTGATACAAAAACCGTCCAGAAGAGGTTGAACTGGAATCCACTCGTCGTTAAATTTGACCTGCAAACCTGGAGCGTCATCTTGCAAAAGAAGGGTGATTCCACCAGGATCTGAATGACAACCTAATCCCACTTGAATCTCCTCGGTGCGGGAAGGTAGATAGAAGTTTGCCCTGATGGTGTACGTAGCCTCTCCAGTCGGTCCTTGTAATTTAACCTGTAAGGTTTCTGGTGGTAGACCAAGCATTTCGGACATCACAGATAACAGCCTTTCTGCCAGTTCTTTCGCCTCTTTTGCGTACTGCCGCATGGTTTGTCTATAAAATAGTCATACGAACTCGAAACGTAGATGATTAGGCGTCTCCACATGATGGATCAGACTAGAGTAAACACGAATCAGAGTGTACTCTGAGACCAAGACAGGGAATTTGTGATTTGTCAGGTGCTCCACGCAAGGGACAAAGGAGTTAAGAGCAAAACCGATTCCCTGACTGATGTATCGTCAGCCTCCTAATCAACAACGGCCATTAGAACAATATTTTAGCCGTGTAGGTAAGACTGCTGTTCTCACGACAATGATATGGTATGGAGATTTCATAGTTAGCTCCAGTTTACCATCTACAAACGTCGCTTAGACTTCAAGATACCCTTGACTTCTTCATTAAATGCTCTATCACACGTAGACTAAACGCACAGGTAAAGAGCCTCAGTTTTTGATTGATGTGATCAGAACAGACAATCCTGTTCTTACCTGAACTCTGGAGGATCACGAGGCCAGAGATCTTCCCTTCTCTTCGACATAGGAGACAGAAAGTAGAAGAAGTCGTTACTTGCAAGATTGAGCTTATTTTCACCGGCTTTGATGTTGGAATGGGCATAGCCTTGTATATTGTCGGGAGTTTTCCGGTACTGCTCCTTTTCTTCATCCGGCAGATGGAAAAACCCTTTGCTGACTTCTCTAAGTTTGTGCATGAGATTCACGTCCACACCATGATTAACAACTTGAAAGAACCCGAACGATTCGCAAGCTTGCGCTATCTCCTGACCAATTTTCGCACGACCGGTACACTGCAAGTCTGCCAAATCGATCACAGGAATTTGGTAGGTTGACATTATTGGGCCTTTAGGTGCATCCGTATTGGGACTCACGGTTCGTCCTGGTGCCCCTAGAATTACATCTCGCGTCTCGTTGGCCACTTCTGGGAACATACCGGACCCTATTCAGCACTCCGTCGACACGGTATTTGGAGATAGTGAAGCTGCCCTACTGCAATGTCTCAATCTTCGATCCACGAAGAACTGATTGGCTTCAGTTCTCACTGGGTCACCGTCACACCGGGACCTGAATTCGTTTATCCTTTTAACCTAAATTCCAGCTAGATTCAGCTGGAATCACGAAAGACGCTTCTCTTGTTTTTCGTATATACTGCGGTATATGTGAAGGCTGTGGCATTGCTTGGGACTTTCGGTCGCCAAGCGTACTTTGCACACTTGTCAGTGGCTGATCCAGTCTCCGGTGTTCGTCGATGCAGTCCACTATTCGGAATTTTCTGATGATACCGGTCAATCCTAAGCTTATGCTCGTCAATTCTAGGCCCACCTGACTTGACATAAATCCGGATACTGATCGTGAGGGTATAAGAGTCTCCAGATGACATCATCTACGATATCTTCCTTCTGATACCTATCTTGTACCGAAATTTGACCGGAAACATTATTATAAAGCCACACACCTGAAATCAACAACTGATGTGGGCTAACTCCACGACACGTCGCTTCGTGGATAGTTCTCAATCTGACATGTCACCTACAATGATTTCGCCTAAGCCCTTGCTACCCGTGACACAAAGTCTAGGAGCACGTCATGCGGACTGATTTTGCTAAGTATAATTTCTCGTAAGGTTGAGGACGAACAACAGATTGTATTACGAGAAAAGTGAAGGTTTGAAGTCAGAACAGGACGAGCCCCCTTTTTCAGCTCAAGGTTTAGGACAGCTTTCGACTGAATTTGCAAATGTGCTGTCGGTTGTTACAGGCGACGTACGCGCATGCCATCCAGTTGTTGCGTTGTATCCTCTTTTTACCTCAGTGATGAAAGACCCTCTACTCCTAGTCTGAGAAAGTAGCGTAGAATTGAACAGCGCAGGGGTGCCACTGCCTGCGGCTGGCAGCCTGTCGCTCTTCTCCACCTGACCGCTATTTTCCTGATGACAGAACATACGCATTTGACCCACTGCGAAGAAAAGTCGTGCAAGGAAAAAAAGTCCTGGGAGGTAGTTGAGGCTGTACGGGCAGGAGGGGGGACGATGGAGGGAGGTTTGGACAGTGGTCACTGTATCACTGCGAAAGTTCATCCACAGGGTCTGCGGATACTTCGCCAATGGGAGGAACATCCGTCCATATTCCGATAACACTCGATTAGAACAGCCTTCCTATCCGCAATTTTATCCTGAGTTTCACGTAATAAAATCACTTGAACGGATCCCACACAATCTGCCGTCGAATGATGATGAAACATCAGAGTATACAGTATGCAACTCGACCATGCATGAATCTAGCTACCCAGAGACGATACAATAAAGATTCTCCCTGTTAAAGGCCTGAATCAACGAGCAAGACGTAATCCGAACATTCAGTTCACCAACTCATCGTACTCGAAATTCGCAGCGTAGTAGCTCCACTCCTCGAGTGCCGCCGACCTCCAGATGAAAGAAGCGACAAGACGATCTCCCACCTAATTCTACCTCTGCTACCGAACGGATGTTCTCCTACTCGTTTCGACAAACCACGCTCACAATCAGTCACCGAGACCTAGCTCTAGACGACCCATCGATCCACTGACCGACTTCCAAACGATGATCCAAAACCAGCGACAATGAAGCCATAAAGTCGCGCTGTCATAGAAAAGACCACTGCTGATGATTCCTCCCGACCGATCGCGCCGATGCGAAGTAAATCCGCCTCGCAAGAAACACGAGAATGCACAGCACGGCATCTGCACGCACGAGATTCTGCACCCCCGTCCTCGAAGACGAGGGCGCCGATGAGGGCCAGAGCTCCATAACACTCGCCGCGCCTGAACGTACAGCCCGCGCCTACGCAAAGCGCTCGACAGGCGGACCGACGGCCCCGCGCACAGGGAGCAAGGCGGCACACGAGATGGGCGACGGACAGAACTCTGGCGGACGTGACGGAGAGAGCCGGAGCGCGTGGGGCGAGTTCCCGACTGCCGCGGATGGCGGATGACAGTTGCCTCGGTTGGCGCCATGTGCGGTGTCTGGCCAGAACGCTACACACTCAAATGCCGTGACATGCAGCAGAGCTGCATTCTGGGGAATTTCCCCGTCGCTCGCTCGCATCTCGCTGCATTTCCACTTTTCTCGCTCGATCCGCGCCCCGCTTTCGTATCGTGGCAAATTCGAAATGCGTGCCGCGCTGCCCCCCGATTCACTTGCAGCCAATGCGAGATGCGATGGCGAGATTCGCCTCTCGGTCGACATGTGTACAAAATCGATCTAGCGCGGCATCCGCGATTCCCGGCGATGAAGGTTCTCGAGTAGCCAGGCGGACGCTGCGCATCTACGGCAGCCAGCCTTCCGCGCCCTGGCACCGTCAGATCCCCTCCAGCTGCTCTCCTTCACACAAGCCCGGTGGCAGGAAATTGTACCCAGTGGTCGCATAATGCCACGAATCTCATCGAGCTAACGGCATGTAGGTTCGCACTAGCGACCCTAGCGCCGCGTAGCTGCGTGGAATGCCCTGTCAGTAGATCCCAGGCTCGGTGGCCAATGGCCACGCATTCTTTTCTCCAGCCTGGTTGCAAGCAACTTCCGGCCAATGATGTGCCGCCACATCCGAGCTTTGTGGAAAGCGCGGGGACGTCTGACTGACTGACTCGTCACTCGTCGCTATAATGTCGAGGACCTGGCTCTGGGCTCGGATCTGGAGTCTGGCCTGGCGATGTTACCTCCACGGTGAGTGCGGAGAATAAACATCTGATATCACAACTTACCCTAGCCTAAGGTCCGGGAGTCGGGGTCAATAGAAAGGATGTTTTGTGATTCCTTCCTTTTCCAGCACCCTTCGCTCCGTAGAGAATTTTTGTTCACAAGACTATCTTTTATAAAGCTTCTTGCTGTCAATGATCGCCTTTTTTTCATGGTTGCTTCTGTAGGCTACTCATGCAGACTTTAATTACGCCAAAGTGGCTACTGCTGCCCGCAAGGATTATCCTGGAAGATTGCAAGTCTATCACCTTTGTCAAAAAAACTTATTTGCTTGTTTGTAAATATCTGCTTTTAAGTTGGCAGCACTTTTTTTTGTATGCTTGCCCTTAATCGTTAAGAACAAACAAGTCAACATTCGTCTGAAATTCTTATCATTTTTGGATAACAAATTTGTACACTTTTTCACCTTTTCTGAACACCAAAAGGATATAGTTGTAATGTATAATGTCCATGATAGCGTATAAAGAAAAGTCGTACTTCTTGGTCTACTATGGTTAAGGTCAAAAATATTTTTCCTCAAATTTCCCACCAAGGATAGATTTTTGTGGGACTTAAGGTTGAGTTTAGAGTATTTCGAAAGATACTCTAAAATTGCGAGCATTGAGTACGGATGATTTTAAAAAAATTTGTACGTTTGAAAGAAATTTGCTAAAATCTTCTCAAAGTTTTTCAAAGAGTACTTTTTCCAAATGTAATGTATGGAGACTGTTATTACATCCTCTGGTATTCTTCATTGCCAGAGTTAGATCGCTTGCAAAGGAGCATCATCTTGTCACGTGGATACAAAATAAACCACAAAGGTTGGTCATTTTATTGTGCATCCATTGTATCCCCTTATCGAGAGATATTTTCATTTTTCTGGATGGGTATTGTAACTGGGAAAAAATATATGTATATCAGAGTGAATATGTCACAACACTCAAACTACTGTCACTGGATCGATTCTACTTCCCATAGATTTCATCCACAGCTTTATGATTCGTGTAAATAAGACTACATCACATCACAGCTTGACTTGACTCTCTTCGTATCGAGGGTGTATATTTCCTTAAATATCAATGGACCTAACCCCAGGATATATTCTTCTCTCTAAACTCGTACGATGTTCGAATTTTTACTAATTATATACCTTCGCAGCTATTTCAACTTTCACGACTATTTCAACTTCTAATTGAAAACGTCTCCTAGTTCAAGTACATGCTTGAAACGACAATTGGAATGCTTGTTTCACAATTCTTCTATACTGGACTAAATTTAATCATGAACAATTTCATCATCTTTAAAACTTTACATGCATGGGAAAACATGAGTTAGGACCTTTTATTTAATATTATGACACTTTTGGAATTTAAGAAATTACAACTTACAACAGTTCTTATTGATTCAAACATATTGTGAATATTCACATCCATTCATAGATTATGTTTTGCAGTTATGATTAATAAAATTTGTTCTATGTTTTTTGATGGTGTCAAAGATATTTCAGTTAGAATCTGCATGGGATGATAATTTTTGGAAATGTGAAAGTAAGTAGTGGGGGAAGAAGAGATTAAAAGAAGGAGAGAATTTACAAAATGATAGAATTTATTAGAAGATTAACGCATTCAAGTGTTAGGTACAAACCATTCATTTTAGGATAGATTTCAGAAAGTCTATATAACAAAAACATAAGAAGTACTATTGGTAGGTAATTATTTATAATGCGGTAGAATTGTTATTTTAGTCATAATATGAATAATTTCTACCATTTAATTATCAGATATATATAAACTTGCAAACAAAACTTCACACATTAGACAAATTTCAATTCAATACATAATTTATGAGAATCTATAATTGATATCTTTGAAATTTTTCACGTAGAAGCTAACTAAGTGTCATATATATATATATATATATATATATATATATACTCAGGACTAATTAACTCTCATCCTACTATAAGCTGGTGATTCATTGATGGCGCTGGTTTATAGGTTCCGTGAAGTGAGTATTAAACTTTGCCGGTTTTACTTCTTTCCGCTCTTTGTCCATGATGCCTCTGTGGCAAGAGACACGACAAACTGAGCGGAAAATAATTTGTGTCATAAAGTTCAAACTTTACAATGGCATGCCACAAATTGAAGAGTCGCTATCATCCTCCCCGCCAGAAACCAATTTCAATAAATCCTCCTACTTCGACGTGGCTACGATCCAATTGACTTTGGTAATCATGCCCTGCATTTAGCCCCAATAACAGCCATCGTTTGATGACACAATTATCAACATTGTGCAATTTTTAGTATCTAATAACACAATCAAAACTGGCTCTCACAATTTGAAGACAATATTCTTACTTGCCAATCACGAGTATCATCCAAGGGAGCGGGTCAGGGCACTTAGCAATTCCAAACTCAACGCTTACTCGGGTTACAATTGTCATGAACGTTTCAGGTTTGAACATAAACAACAAACGTACATGATACTTTTGCTAATTCATCTTCTACAACAATCATAGCGGATAATTAAAAAAAATTATTTCATCAAAATTCCAAGAGTTCATTGATACTCAAAATTTGGACGACTGAAGACTATGTAGTCTGGAGCTGATCTTATCATAGCACATGAAAAAATTGTACCGCAAATAATTTTGGTAGACTTCAAACATTTTTGTTAGAAGCAGATTTTGGCGTACTACATAGAGTGCATAAAAGGTATTCGAAAAGTATGACTTCCTACAATTGTTAGTTGTAATGACATGTTGCGCAAGCCCTTGACAACGATCAGACAAGAGGGTACAAGAGCGACAAACTCCACCCATCCTAGGAAACAGCATTCACAACGGACCTCAAACGCGGAGGTGGCAGGCATGGGTTTGATGTGGCTCTTGCCACTGAGGCATCATGAATGAAGAATGAAAAGAAGTAAAACCTCCAAAGTTTATTACTCACACCATCAAAGCTATAACACGGGACCACCAATGAGTGAACATCATTTAGTAGAGTGAGGGCTAATTAGCCTTAAGTGAGGGATAACAAGCCGCCATCTAAAAATATTTTACATCTTTTTTAGTCGGAAGGCTTCTTTCTTATGCCCTGATCGAGTTTATCAACTTGAACATAAAAGGATAGAATTAATGAGGAGCTGCTTTATAGTTTGAGAATTTTGAGGTACGTTAGGGAGGGGCAGCAAGTCCGAAAATTCATAGGAGTTCATTAAAATCCATTCCTAGTTTCCATCTAATTCCCAAAGTAAGCATCAGAAAAATAAATATAGCATATTTCTATTGCTCTATTTTCATACCTTACACATGCATGATACAACAACAAATTTGATTTATTGTTTTGAAAGGTTTCTTGAATTTCTAACATTTATTCTTTGTTAGAAAAAAAAATTTCCTCTTTATATATTTTTTAATTAAATTTAGAAAATTATTGTAATTGAAAATTATTTTTTTCGATATTATTTTTGTATATAGAATCAATAAATTGAAATTAAAAATACCAAACGGTTTTTATTTTTTATGAAAAATAAATTTTCATTCTTCGTAATTTTAAAGACAAGATCATATCATCTAATTAAATTCAGTAAAATTTACAATATCAATTTTTACTTTTGCTTTAAAAGGATTAAAATATGCTATAATTGTACACTTTTATCATGAATATTTTATCATGCTTCAAAAGATTCTATTTTTTCAATTTTTTTATCTCATATTCAAATTCTCACATTCGATAGAATATGAGATCTCCATTTTTTCTTAGAAATTCAATACTAGTATAACAAAATATTAATCTTTTTTCAATATAGAATTAAATGATGTTATGAGGAGATGATCGTTTGCAACTTTTATGCTATAAATTTCTTTCTGATATTTTTTTCTGAATTATAGTAATTATATTATTTAATTTTCGGATATTATAGAAAATTTATATTGGTAAAATTTTAAATAAAAATAAAATTCTTATCATAGAATGAACACTTTTTTGAAAATATCGAAAGTTCCTATAGTTATGAACCCCTAATCAATAAGAATGAATGACTTATTTTATCCTGAATTTTTTATGTCATCTAGATAAAATAGTTGATTGATAACTTGCACCAAAATAATGAGAAAATATTTATAATTTAAAAGTAACATGAAACTG